AGATACAACATTACGAAGGCAGACTGGTTTTTCACTTTAAGACCATAGGTCGTTTCCTAAACCTGTAAGTATGGTAACTGTGTGGCGGTGTTGTCCTGGGCCAGGTGGGTGGACCTTGGACCTGAAAGGCTGCCTTTGGGCTTCGGCAAGTGCCTTTTATCTCCACGCATCATCTCAGCAGAGATAGCACCAGCTTGCCTCCTGGTGTCATAGCTGTCTGACTGGGTCCCAGGGAGAGGGCCTGTGCGGCTTGTTTGCCTTCCACACCTGCCTCCCAGGGGAAGCATGCTCAGCCTCTCAGGATCTTCTCTGGTGACTGGCCCAAATCCCAAACCTTCTCCCTGTTGACAGCCTCTGTTATACTTGGGATCCAAAATGTCCCCAGTAAAGAATATAGTGTTAAAGGCTTGGTTGTTGGTAGGCTTTTGGAAATGACAGCATCATGAGGGCTCTAAGTGCATCATGGATTAATTCACTGGTGAGATCACAACCCAATGGGGCCTGCTAGGAGGAGGGCCACAGGTGATGTGGCTTCCAAGGACGTATGTTGTCCCCATCCCTTGCAGCCTCTCTCTCTCCCTCTCCCCTCCTCTTCTATCCCCTCCCTTCCTCTCTCCTCCTCTCCTTTCCCCTCCCCTCCCTTCCTCTCCTCTCCCCTTTCCTCTCCTCCCCTCCTCTCCTTTCCCCTCTCCTCCTCTCCCCTCCCCACCTCTTCCCTCCCCTCCCTTCCCCTCCTCTCCTCTCCCCTTCCCTCCCCTTCTCTCCTTTACCTTCCTCTCCTCTCCCCTGCCCTCTTCTCTCCTGTCTGTCGCCATGCCCTTCCACCAGGACGTTTCTGCTCTACAGCCCAATTCCCATTGATCAAAACTTCTGAAACCAAATAACTTCTGACTCAAATAAACCTCCCTTCCTCCAGTTGTTATTCTCAGGTATTTTGTTGCTGAATCTCCATTAGTTTATGAGCAAGAGTGAGAAGAACAGGCACATCCTCTTCACCTGCCACGGTTTCCCTCAACCTTGGCCTTTCCTCTGATTCCAGTGGAGAAGTAATTTTCCAGCGTCCCAGATCACACCAGCGATTGCTGCCAACCCAGCCTTCCTCTTTCTCCATTGCTGTTTTTCCATCTCTGCCTTCCAAACATGCCACCTGCTCCTCCGGGTGTCGCCACATAACCTCTCCCCCGCCCCCAAATCTCCCTTTGCCTCCTCCTCTTTCAAGTTACCATTTTATTTTCTGCCTCCTGTCTACTCAGAAATATCCCGAATTAGCAGTTGCGTTTATTTTATTACTGACTTCAGACAATTCTCACAACAATCCCTTTGAGAGATATGTCATTTCTGCTGTGTATGTGATGAGGAAAATGAAGTTCAGAATGGGCCAGAAACATCCCAGGGATAGACAGCCAGGAACGGCTGAGCTCCAGGCACATCATGCCATTGAACATGGGCACACCTGTGCACTGCTGCAGCTACCAGCCTCACCTCACAGGGAGGAAGCTGAGTGCCAAGGGTTCACATGGCCCACACCATCTGCTCCCACACTCCATCCATTTCCAGATGCCTGAGGCATGGGGCTGCGTCCTGAGTGATGTGCTGGTACGATGCTTGGACATGTCAGAGTTCCAGACATTCTCCCGGTAGAGCCGATTTTGCCCTTCCATGAGTCCAGAAGCTACCATCCTCCTCCAAGATTGGAGGAGGAGCCAGGCAGGGGGCAGACGGCTACGCCATCACTAATCCTGCCAAGCACTCTGCAGGCCCAGCCAGCCACGCTACCTCCCAAAGACCAATTTGGACACAAGCACCCCTCATTTCCTACCAAGAAAAGCCTGATTATTCTGGCAGAAAACAGAAGCTTCCAAAATCCAAACTGACAAAAAGATGAGATTACTCATGACAAAGTTCCAGATGACCCTCTGGCATGCCATTCTGATATACTGTGTGTGGTACTTCTGGTATATTGTAGGGTGAAAGTATACGATCTTTACTCACTAAATACACACATGCAAGTTTGCAGGTCACACCCTTGCACATCTACACACACTTGCACATGCTTAAGTGGAGTCATACACACATGTGTGTGTGTGCATACTCATGCATACACTAGCATGTAGACAGTACACAAATGCACATACATACACACATAAGCACATGCATGTGCACATATGTTATATGCTATAGTATCTCAAGAAGCAGATGGTCTAACACAATTCTTTTTACATTTTCAGGTCCTGGAACCTGTGAGAAGTGAAAGCAATAGAGTTACTAGCCAGAAAATTGAACACACGTAATATCTTAGTCACTCTGCCATTGCTGGTCACAAAATTCATGTCATGGGTACCAGGAAGCCAAGAGAAAAGGGTAGAGCTGAGGAGGGAGATACATCCCTCCAGATCAGGCCTGCCTTTCTGTCCAGCCCCACTCCTAAGAGCGTATTCAGCTCTGAACTCATGGGTGGATTCATCCACTGATGAGTATAGCACCCCTATCTGATCGCCTTCCACAGGTCCTGACTCTGAATACTTGAGCTTCTAGGAGAACATTAGATCTCAGCTCTAACATACACAGAGGTGCCATCTCTCACCACTTCCGGAGCCTGGAGGTTTAGAGCATGGGCTATGTGGGAGTGGCAGGGCTGGGTGCACCAGGGTGACATCCTGAGTCTGTCCACATGCCTTTAGCTTAGCTCCAATCCCTGGAATTCCTGGCTGGAGCTTTGGGACTAAAGCCTGTGGGAAGCCCATCTTTGCTGGAAGCCAAAATGTCAAAGTGGGGTGAAAAAGCCATTGAATTGTAAAATCGTGATCTGAACAGTGGGAAAAGACATCAGCTTTCATAAGGGACGGAAAGTGAACTCCTGGGGCAAGCCTGTGAATGACAGTGCGGCCATGATTGCCATCACCTTTGAGGTAACCAAGAGGACCTTGTGGGACTCATATGGGACAATGACAAGAAGGGGCAAAGGGCAGACCTGGCCACCTGTGGGCAAGGGCAGAGAAGGGTGGGTGCAGGGGTCTGCCAAGCTCCCTTCCCTGGTGCAACATGGCCCATGGAGAGGCAGCAGTGTCTCCAGGGCCAGCCCCAGTTGTTGCCCAGGATGCCAGCCTGTCAGGATCCACATAAGGGCTGGTGTCTCCCTTGAGCACCCTCACCCCATCTAATTATCACCATCTCCAACTCCCCATGGCTCACTGACCCTGGCCTGGAACTGATAGAAATGGCCCAGGTCTCCAACACCAACCCCCTACAAATCCAGACCCACTCTGCCTTCAGAGCCAAAAAACTCCTCTGAAACTTGGACTAACCAAGCAAAACCAGCCTGAGCTTCCAGAACCTGCAGAAACCACATAAAATCCCCATGTGGCCATGGCTGGGAAACACCAGGAGCCAGGAGGGATGATCACGGTTATGATTCTGATCTGGAACCTTTACTCTGGCTGGCAATGGCGTACTCTGAGTGTGGTTTCAGGAGAATGAAGGCACAGGTTATTGCACTGACCCACTTCTTCGCCGTGACTAAGGTCTGTGCCAGGGACGAGCTGGTGCACGGGCTCCCCGCTGTCTTGCACAGGCCCAGCCCATTGTTGCTGCATCTGCAGACTCCTCCTGCTGCAGTCACAGGCCACAGGTCCAACGTGCATGGGTGATGGAATACATGGTGACCATGGGCAGCAGGAAGCGGAGCCACATGGAGCCTTTCTTCCCCATAACCGGAAGGTTCCAGGGTTCCTCAGGCCCAAGCAGGTCACTGAGAAATGACATTCATCCTGGACATGCAGCTGATGTGCCCAGGGCCATCAGAAAGAGACAACCATATGCCAGAATGTGTCTGTGTGCCTACAAAGGATCAAATGATAGAAATACTGCATGGATGAGAAATGGATTCCTATGAATGCCCAACTGCTGAGCCCTATTAGCCTACTGTGTTTTTGTTTCTTGAATAAAATACAAATTAAGCTTCCTGAACTAGCTGCGCACAGTCCATCCAAAATTATGTCCCTTGGTTCCTTAAGCTTCTCAGAGTCTCCTTCATTTATGCTGGATGTGTGAGCTTTCTGCTTCCTTCCTGGTCAGGGACCAGAGTCTTGTTCCACCACTTGGACATCTTGTCACCTCAGAAGGCCTCTCCTCTTTCTTTTCTCTCTCTCTATGTCTCTTTCTCTCCTCCTCTCTATTCTCCTTCTCTCCCTTTGCCTTGCACTCTTCTTTCCCCCTTATGTTTGACTCACTGCAAACTCAGAGATCCCAGGTCAGTTGGGACCACTGCTGCCCTCCCCATTGGCTCCTCTCTGGGGCTGTTTCATTCTGTGGAGCAGAAAGATCTGACTGCACCCTATCTGATAGGCCTTGTGCAGCAGAGCTAAGAAGAGACCCTGCTTTCTCTGCCTGTCTGCAAGATTGCACCAGGGATGCCTGCCAGATTCACAGCAGGATCCTGTTCCCCTGGCTGATGGTGAGAGGAAGCAGTGGGGATTTCCGAAGGATGGTGTGGAGCACAGGGAAAGGCCCTTGGCAGCAGAGACCCGGATGATAGTGCTGCTCTTGCATGGGGCCTTGGACCTGCTCTTGGCCTAGGGGTGGGACAGGAGCCAGTAACTAAGTGGTGTGTTGGGACCTTTCGGGAGGCAAAACTTCAGTTCTCCCTGTTTGGAATTTTCTCCCTTCCCCCCAGCAGAAACCCTGCTCATTCCTTTTAAAAAAGGGAGAGAGATTCATTTATAGAAAATCTTTTTATAATTTATTTCCCGTATTAATCTTCAAAGTATAAAAATGAGGTTCTAGCTAAATTCAGGGTCTCAGTGGTGAAATTTTGACCATGTAAACGAATAAATAAATATTTACAGTTTTTGGCAAAAGAAAGTTTCATTAAGCTAAATGAGAACCTTGTTTAAAAAAACATAAATAATTTACAAAAAAATATGGTACATTCTAAGTATTCACATCATCATCCCCATTGTACTGTTGGACCAAATGCCCCCAAAACATAAGCCTACACACTCTTCACGATCGTCACATTTAATGAAGTTTCCCAAGCCTTTGCTGGTTTGGGGAATACAGTTCCACAAAGATGAAAAGTGCAGCAAAACAAGAGTACCAACCTCAAAAGAAGCAACAAAAATAATTTTATCATGATGAAATGTTATGTAAATTAAAACAATAGTTATGGATTCCTCCTATTGGACATAGAAATGCTATCACAATTAGCAGAGAGAAGAGAAATTTGTCCCATGTCAGACAGACAAGACAAGCTTTCACTAACCACCCATAAGGAGTAGGAGGAAATAAAATCTCCTGCAGATTATGTAACTCAAAGCCAGGATTAAATCAATCTTGTGTCTGTTACTGTCTGATTGATTACTGGGTGTGCTGGTAGGACTAAATGCTGATTATTCTTTGGCATTCAAATTTTAAAAACTATATACAGCAGACAGAAAACAGAAAAAAAAAAAAACTACGCTAAAATCACTGGCAACAGAATATATTAAGGTTCCATTACGAATTCTTCATCATTATTTATTTGGCCTATTACATCTTACAGCAGGCTTTATTAGGACAACATATTATAAAGCCTTGTGCTTCAACAGGCAGATATGTCGCTGTAGCCATATCCTCATATTATTATATCCTTGTTATATGTTTATTTCTAGAAATTATACTACATATGTGTTACTTAGCATGTTTAAAATAAGTTATTTGTGAGTGGAGCTGCATTCCCTATTCTTTTAATAAATATTAACAAACACTTATAACTGGAACCTCAGTGAAATGTGTTAGTAAAAGCAAATTTTCCATAGCTTCCAAAGCCTAGGACAGGAACAAGATGCCAGAGTGCGTTGCTGTCTTGTTTATCTGGTTAGCTGTTCTCCAGGAACTGAGATCAGGAAAGAAGCTCAAAGCAAGCATCACCGCGGTCAGGTTGCAAAACTAGAGGACTACTGGCCAGGAGAGCTCGCAGCCCACTGAGGACGAGCAGCCAGCCGAACCAAAGCCTCGTGGCTCAGCTTGCCTCTCACTCCGAGGCTGTGCTGAGCCCGCAGCAGGGCCACAAGAGCTCCACTTTGCAGGGGTGTTCTCTCTTTGATAGAACTCCATCTCTGTCAAACATGAGGCTTCCTTTGCAGGACAAGGGGAGAAAGGGGAAGGGCATTCTTTTAATTTTCTATTTCCTCTGTTTCAATTAGTCAATTTATATCTCACATCATTCCATATTGGGCCACAGATTCACATGACAATTATTTCCTCACCTCGTCCTTGCTGTGGCATTGCTTCAAGCGCTACTTGACCCTTCCATACGGTTGACCCGAAGGGCTTGTGTGTTATTGTAAAACAGCACTCATCCAAAACTAGTGAAAACATTGAGCACTGAAGGTAGTTGAGCAATATTTTTCATGCTTAATTTATAATAATGGCTTATGCACAATATTCCCTTCAACTTCATATACATATAAATACAATAAGTAATTACATTTCATATGTAAACGTCATTCTTTTTAAACAAACAAGCAAAAGGAATGCAACGTCATGCCCAATTTTCATTCCACACAAAATCTCTATCATCAAACTTTGCCGGTAGAAGGTTGGATGTGCATCTTTGGGTTCCATTCGTGGTGTCATCTGAAAGGAGCTTGGACTTGGGGCTGATGAAGGAGCTGAAGAGCCACTCATAGGCAAGGTCAAGGAGCACTGAGTGCCACAAAAGGAGAAAATCTACAAGGACCAGGGTGCACTGAGATGTCTAAGTAACAGCATTTGTAGCACATTTCTGGAAATCCAGCATGGCTTATTCAGATATCTAAAAGAAAAGCAATAAACAGAATTAGGATGACTTATCCATGGGGCTAGTTTTACTGTTTCACCTACAACCTGAGTATCGCTGTTTTAACTAAAAAAATGACGTCAATAGGCTGGTGAAAGTACAGAAGGAAAGAAGAAAGGGAAGAAAAATGAGACGAAGGAAAGAGGGAGAAAGGATGGAATGATACAAGAATAGATGAATGGATGGGAGGTTAGCTGAAAGGATGGATGGATGGATGGAAGATGGATGGATGGATGAAAATATAGGTGGAAGAATGGAAAGATATGCATTTTTACATAGAAGGATGGACAGAAGAATGAATGAAATGACGAATGCAAGGAAAAATGGATGGAAAGATGGGGAAATGGAAGGATAGCTGAAAAATGGAAGGAAGAATGGACAGATAGATAGAGTAGAATGATGAATGGGAATATGAAAGGACTGATGGATGATAAAAGAAAGGATAGAGGGATGGATGGAAGGATAAAAGAATAGATAGAAGGGAGGAAGGAAGGGAGAAAAGGGAGGGGGAAGGACAGAAGGAGAGAAGGAGGGCAGGAAGGAGGATGGAAGGAAAGACAGAAGGATAGATGGAAGGATGGATGAATGAATGGCCTGATGAATGGAAATAAAGAAGGGCTGATGGTTGGGTAGATGGAAGGAGGGATGCAAGGATAAATGAAACAATGGAACTATGGGAAGATGGATAAATAGTTGCTTGGATTATGTAGATGGAAATATGACATGTATTGAAAGGGAATCCTAACAAAAAAAAATTAAACTTTGTGGTTTGCAATGTGTGATTTTTAAAAATCAGATCTGAACCTTACTTCCCTCATCTGTAGAAAACATGGCATCAGACAAGGGGCGAATACAACTCTTTTCAAGGATTATAAGAGTTTAATTCAAATATACTCCTAGAAGTATAGCTAAAAGAAACTCTTCCATTCCCATCCCTCTAAGAAGGTACAAAAAATAATCTGTAGAATTTAGTAGAGTAGGAGGTATTCTGTAAATACTCAGAACGTGTTCATTTGGCATAGCACTGTCACAGACGTGGGGATCAATGGAACGGAACAGAGGACTCAGAAACCTCCCCAGACACACCCATCCATCTAATCTGGAAAAGGAGCCAAAAGTATGCATCGGAGGAAAGACACCCTCTTCAACAAATGGTGCTGGGAAAACTGGCAACTGTTTGCAAAATATTGAAGCGGGACCTGTATCACTCACAATACACTGAACTAAAATCAAAATAGATCAAAGATCTAAACGTTAAAACAGAAACAATGAGCCCACTGGAGGGCACAATAAGGAAAACACTTGAAGTAATAGGTGTAGAAAGTGATTTCTTAAGCAGAACAGAAATTGCACAAGAAATGACTACAAGAGTCAACAAACGCTATTACATCTGATTAAAAAGCTTCTTCACAGCAAAAGAATCAATTAGTAAAGAGACAACTTATAAAATGAGAGAAAAAATTGCCAGCTGTTTCTCAGAGAACTAGTATCTAGAATGTAAAAAAAAAAACTTAAAAATATTAGACCACCTAAAATAAATGAACAATCAAGAAATAAACAGATCCAATCAAGAAATGGGCAAATGGAATGAACAGACCCTCTCAGAAAAAAGTGTAAATAGCCAATAAACACATAAGAAGATGCTCAACACCTCTGGCCATTAGAGAAATGCAATGCTATGATTCCATCTTACTCCAGAAACAATGGCCATCAAGAAGTCAGAGAACAACAGATGCTGGAGAGGCTGTAGTGAAAAAGGAGACACTCCCATGCTGTTGGCGGGAATGTAAACTAGTACAACCACTATGGAAATCAGTAAGCAAACTTCTCAAAGAACTAAAATTAGAAATTCCATACGATCCAGCTCTTCTTGTTCTAGGAATCTTCCCCCAAAGAGCTTAAGATAGCATAGTACAGCGATATATGCATGCCAATATTTATACAGCACAAGTCATAAAAGATAAATCCTGGAAGCAGCCTGTATGTCCATCAACAGACAAATGGATAAAAACAATGTGCTATCTGTATATAATGGAATACTACTCAGCTATAAAGAAGGGTACATTCTAGGCATTTGTGGGACAATGGATGCATCTGGAAAATATAATGTTGAGGGAAAGAAATCAGACATACAAGCTTAAGTAATAGATGGTATCTCTTGTATGAGTGAGACGAAGTACAAACAAAGAGCATGATACACAGTGAATGACTGAGAACAGAAGGACAGATCACCTACAAATGCAAAAGGACCCATGAAGAGGGGAGTGGGGAGGGTATGAACAGAACTCAGCTGTGCCGTGTCCGGGAGCCTAATGACTTCAAGGAATGAAAACACTGTACGTCATGGAAATGAAATAAGATTAAGAAGAAGGAGGAGGAAAATGGGGAAAGAGGATTTAGAGGCAGAGGGAGGGAGGTACCACAGGTAGGAAGGGGAAGGGGTGAAAAAAAGAAACAAGCTGTGTTCTGTGCCTGTACCTGTGCCCCAAGATGAAGGCAAACTACTTCATGTGCTGCAAACGTTCACTAATTCAGAAAGGAGGGGAAAGACGACCAGGTGGAGTAAAGCCCAAAGTAGATGAACATACTAACAGGAATTAGAGCCCGCTGAATCTGGCGGAAGACCACCATCAGCAGTTTATTCGCTGTTTCTGGTCTATTCCATCTCTTACCTTGGCTTTCTTTATCTCTCCTCAATTTCAGGTTCACTTGAAACTAAGATCTCTAAACTCTGGAGAAAGCCTGACAGAGCAATCCAACTTATTTGCTTTTCCTGTTTTCCCTTAAGTCTGTCACAACACTGAAAATCACTTGAAGACTTAGTTTAGTATCCAAAAGCAGCATTACATTTCACCACTCCCAGCTTCATCAAATTGGAGGCTCAAATTGCAGTGTGATTTAGAAATAATGGTCTGCTGTAATCTTTTTAGACCACTAGCAAAGGTCTCGTAGAAATAAAACTTTCAAAAAATAACAAAGAAAGTGTTTGTTCTTCCAGGAACAGTCAGTTTCAATTTAAAACAATAAGGAAACTAACAAAATAAAACCTGGAATGCCCAAACACAACCTCTAGGAAGACGCATGCGGGTCTACCTGAGTTCCCTGGCCAGTTCCCTGGGGGGTGACCTGCACGGCAAGCTCCTTCCACCACTCACCTCTGCACTCGTACTTGAGATCCGAGAAGTAGACCATTTCTTGAGAGAAGACGAACAGACCCAGCCGCCCGCCCGCGTAGGTTTGGTCGTAGATTGGTCCTGAGTCGGCCATGACCTGTTTTCCCTCATGCACTAAGACTCTGAAAACACGGGGATGGGGAGAGAGAGCCTGAATCTGTGAAGCACGTTAACCAGGGCTGCAGGTTATGCAGGATGCCAAGCTGACCAAGAGGGATCTGGAATTTTCTTCCCGGTGCTGGGATGGAACCCGGGGCTTCACACATGTTAAGCAAGCACTCTGTCGCCAAGTCACACTTCCAGCCCAACACAGAGGGATCTGAACGGCACCCCCTACTCAGGTTCCCTGAGGCCCAGCCAGAGGCCTTGCACAGCACCCGCCTGAGGGGCTCCTTCCTTCCCCCAACCCCTGCCGCTCTGTGCTTGGGGTGTACGGACAACCACTGATGCTGCTTGCAGCAGTCTCTGCCTTTAGGAGCCCAGGAAGCGGGTGGACAGATAGTGAGGGGCATTTTTGGTGGCCTCTGGGACAGGCTCCCTCCCTTTTCCGGCATGCAAGTCCTCTCCACAAGGAAAGCTTTGAGAAGACAGTTCACCCTCCTGGCCTGCTCAGCTGAAGTGGGAACACTCCACAGGAGGATGGAGGGGGAATGGACTTCATGAGTGAACAGATGAGGCCTGTCCAAGGGATGTCACACCTGCAACTCACTCACACTATGTCTACAAGAACCCCACATTCTTGGCATCTGTAATGAAGCCAAGAGAAGCTGAGTAAAGTGTTTGCTTAGTGCATGCAAAGCCCTGGGTTCAATCCCAAGAACTATAGACACACACACACACACACACACACACACACACACACACACACACAGGGAAAGATAAAGGGAGAGAGAGAGGTAGAGGGAGAGGGAGAGAGGGAAGGAATCCAACAGTGCAATGGAATCCTTTCTTTTTTTGGTACCAGGAGTCGAACTCATGACCTCACACTTGCCAGGCAGGCAGTGTGCCACTGAGCTACATCCCTGGCCCTGCAACTGAATCTTACTAACTTTTTGAAGGATGGAAGGGGAGGGGAGAGAAGGGAAGAGAAGAGACTTTAAATTGCTTAAATTTTGTTTTAATCAAAGCCTATTACAAATGCTATTAGGCCAAGGCCACAATCCTGTTGGCCGATATTTGTGATAGTTTTATTCACATATATGACTTCAAACCCAGCCACACGTACATCAGGAACAGCCAGGTTTGAGTGCAGGAGGATTTTGCAAAGATGCAGTAACCCCTGTGGCCTCCTCCCAAACTGCCGGGGAGATCCTTAGGCGGAGAGCTGCCCACCACCTCCATGTTCTCTTAATGAGACAATTGTTCTTTCTCCTTCCCAGAAGTTTTTACTTTTTAATTAAGTCATTCATAGTAGAGACACAAGATAGAAAAGGGAAGGCGAAGAAAGCCAGGTGTGGTGGCACCCTCCTGTAATCCCAGCACTCGAGAGGTTGAGGCAGGAGGATTGCCACAAGTTCAAGGTTAGGCTGGGCTATGTAGGTAATTCAGAGGCAGCCTGAACTATACAGCAAGACCCTGTCTCAGAAAAAACAAACAAACCAAAAAGAATCCAGAGAAGAACATCAAAGTCAGAAGTGGTCAATTAAAGCTCCAATGGGGAGCCACTACTGGTACAAATATAGCTGGCATTAAACTGCCCTTACCTCATGTACCCTGTCTTGGGCCTGTGGGTCAGGTGCCACCTGTAGGCAGTGTAGTCCTTCCAGCCAATGTTTTTGGGGTCATGCCATAATGTCCTCACCTGGGGAAAAGGTACCACCCTGGAGTCACTTTAGCCCATGAGTGTCACCATGCCTCACACACGAGGCAGAAACTGACCATGACTCTGCAATGTCACCCTGCATTCAGCTCCCTGGCCCTCCAACACACGCTCGCATGGACACAGTCTGTACCTCTCACACTATTCTCCGAACCTGTCACAGCACTATGTGACTTGTCATCGTGACCTTGTCACACGGCCATTGAAGTGCATGGTGGGTGCAACTGTGGTTCAGCTCTCTCAGACAGCCTTGGCCAGACATCTGGTCCAAAATCAAGGCCCCCAGCTCCCTCTATCCATGACCATGGTCAAAGCTTCAACTTTTGAGACCCAGCTCTCCTTGTCACTAGAGCAGAGTAGAAATATGCATAATCTGCAGGACATATTTCCCAATAGTGTTCATCAAATCACAAGGCATGCTGCCTCTAACAAAGTAGGTGGTCCATAATGATAACTTAAATGATGGCTGCCCAAGTTAGAGCCACTGGGCACAGAGGAAGACTCTCTTTGGGCTGAGCTGAGGCTGCAGAGTAGCATCCAGGGGTGTGGCAGCTACCAGCCTCACCTGTCCCTCCGTGTTCCCCGTGTGCCACAGCGCATTCCGCAGGTGCTCGCCGGTGCCCGTCGTGGAGTTGACCACCTTGAGCGACACGCCTGAGTAGCCGTAAGCCCTGCTGGGCTGGTCCTCCCAGTAAGTCTGGGTCACCTGCTTCCACATCACCACATAGAATCGGCTGCTGGACTGGTAGCCAAAGACAAAGCCTGCGTAGTCATCATCCCTGTCCGTGTTCACGTAGAATGTGCCACTGAAGTCCACAGACCCAAACTCGTCAAAACCTGGATGTAAGGGACAAGTGGTCACAATATCAGCAGGACACCAAGGGGACCCAGGCTGGCTCCCCTGACCATGGGACAGTGGTCTCCTCTCCCACCTAACCCAGGTTCTTTACTGAGGGAGGGATGGAATTTAAAGGATTTTAGACCCAACTTAGAGAGTTACACTGTGTGACCTACTACTGAGTAGCCCAAGTCCATGCAATGGAATAGCCACCCCAATGCGACACGTCAGAGGCAGGCATAGGCTTCCCCAACTTCACATATAAGGGAGGATGAAGGGCTACAAAGGCCCATTTGCACGGTCCCACAGGCCTCTGTGGACACTGAGGGTTATCTCTTGGGATCTCGCAAGCTCACCTACAGCGATGCCAGGATCCGAGTTTGCTGTCTGAACCAGCTCCTTGCCTTGGTGACGGATAACCCAGTTAGGGTCGATTTGAGTGGTCCCCTTGGGGTCCAAGGGTACCATTTGGAAGTTCCTGAAGTCAGTCTCACTGATGGCATTGTTTTCAGGGCACACATCATCGATATCTGGGACATTGTCATTATCGAAGTCATCTTTACAAATATCACCACGCCCATCACCTATTTTCAAAGAACAAACAAAAGCCAGGAGACAAAGCAGGTGTCTTATCATTTGCTGCCATACTCTGAGCCCAGAGAGTGCTTGGTCTCTGAAACCTGTGCTAAGGCCTGGCACTGACATATAGACGGACGCTGTTGTCTCCAAGGCATCCATTGCGAGTGCTCTGAGCAGTCTTCGCCTGCCATGCCATCCCATGTCTGCTCATGTCAATCGCCCAGTCAGGATCACACAGTGAAGCCCTCAGGGACCGCCATTCCCCTCATCCTGAGCTCAGACCAGAGAGGAGACCTGTCACGCAGTGTCCAGCAGAACTCTTGGGTGCTTTTGTCACCTTTCACACCCCCACCCCCTTTTAGTCTATTTAGCATTTAGAAGTCTTACTCTGAACCCACCCTTGAGAGAGGAATTCAGATTTCCTCTGCTAGGAGTCTTCTGGTTGGATCCTCATCAGGGCCATGGCTGAATAGGCCACATGTCACTGGTTTGAAGAGGGTGGACTGTGGGACCACTTGGACCCTTTCTCTGGGTGCCATATAGCCAGAGGTGGTCAATCTGCCCCTGCACATCCACTTATTCCACAGGAAAGAAAAGACACCAAATCTAACTTTGAGTGTGACATCCTGACTACTTTTTCACACTGATTTCCTTCTGCTCAGTATCACATTTCCCATAGTGTGCGGAGGTGCATGACCACATACAAGGACTTTGGGGAAACACTGAGACCCTCTCTTTGCAAACCTGCTCCTCTGCTCTTCTGCCTGGCCCAGCTTGGCATTTTACTGTCAGCTCTCGGTGAGACTCCTCGTGCTTCTGAGTCTGGCTGGCTCAGCACCCAGGACTCCTGATCCTCATCCACTGAGGGGCCTGGACAGCAAACTGCTCTACCAAACGTCCACACATGGCCCCCACTGCCACAGAAGTGCTCCTCACTGCTCAGAGATGGATATGCAGGGAGTACAAACACCACTTATTCACAGGGGTCTTTCTCCTTAGACTCACACTCCCCGCATCCGTGTTCTCCTCCCCTAAAGCCCTTCCTGCCCCTCTCTAGCCTCTGACACCTGTATTTTCTAAGAGACTGCCAAAATTCTGAAAATGGTATAGATGCTGGATTTTTCTTCATCCCAGCATGCAGAAAGACACCACATGACACCTAGTGCCAGGTGAATAACACACAGTCTGAGGGGTTGGGCAGCTTGTGTACCCAGGATCCTTGCAGGGCTGGAGTGGAGGGAGGGCACCCACCATCCGAGTCCTCCTGGGCAGGGTTGAACACCAACCGGCAGTTGTCCCTGTCATCCGGGATCCCATCATTGTCGTCATCGGGGTCACAGGCATCACCCTTGCCGTCATTGTCATGGTCAGCCTGGTTGGAGTTGGAAATGTAGGGGCAGTTGTCTTGGTTGTTCTGGTGGCCATCATCATCTATGTCTTCATTGTTGTCGCACTGGTCTCCCACAAGGTCGTTGTCCAGGTCCGTCTGCGACAGAGCCAAAGGGAAGACAGGTAAGCCCCTCCCTAAGGATGTGCTACGCAGCCAGGCCAACCGCCTCCCACATCCTCAGAGAAGAAGCCACTGGGCCAAGCTCACTCTGCTGCCCACACCAGCACTGGGCCAGGCTCCAGGCGCTGGCTTGGATCTTCCCAGCCTGTGCTACCTCCCAGCAGGATGCACCTCACTTAAGGGAGAGCTTGGAAAGAGTGAATAGCACACAGGACAGTCTCTTGACATAGCTGCCAGGAGGCCTCCCAGGGACCCTTTGGGAGGTTTGCTCTCCCTGTCTCTTCCATTACAGACCTGGGGGGTGAGGCAAGCACCTGTGCTCACATCAGGGCAGAACAGAGAGTGGTACGCAGACCCAGCCTCCTCACACATCAAGAGGCAACCTGGCCTGTGGCCACTGAGGTGCCAGAATTGTGCTGAGAATTGAGATGAGGAAATGTTTCCAGCTGAGATTACTGAAAAGCTATGATGCCTTGGCCAAGCTTATGGGAATCACAAAGGCGCATCTTCGCATAGCTGCTGAGGACTTGGGCCAGGCCCCGTGTGCTCTCAAGTGCCCCATCACCTGATCAGGATTGTGCATCAGAGGGCAGTTGTCACAGTGATCACCCACACCATCGCCATCCGTGTCTCTCTGGTCAGTATTATAGACGTAGGGACAGTTGTCTCTTTCATTGAAGACGTCTGTTGGCATTCAAAGATAGCAACAAAAGGCTGGGTTTAGGAAAGGGTTGTTGCGTTTCCTACGGTGTCAGACGACATACAGCCAAAATTTTACTTAATAATAATAAAAGTGACTATGTCAGAATGTGAAGATGATTAGATTTGTGCACAAGGAGACAGGTGAGGGCAGGAGCAGCTGCTGCCCATGCAGGGCTTGCCAGGTCCCTGAACTCCTGGGGAAAGAGTGGCCTGGGGTGGGAGTGGAAGGGCTTCAGACATTAGGGCTCCATCCTTGAGGCCAGCGGGTCTTGGGTAGTATCAACCTGCAGCAGTGGCAGAGGTCACGTGGCACATCTGCACATTCCACTGAGGGAGGAGCTTGCGACAACACAAAAAAGGAACCGATCTAGAAATATCCCAGGTCCCAGAAAGGTCCTCTGAGATCTTTCTTGGGGCAATTTGACCAGGCAAAGGCTCAATGCTTTTGGGGTTCTGGGTAGAAGATGCATCCCAAAAGATGCCATGAATGGTACAGTATGAGAGGCCTCTAGGCTGCATCTGGAGAGGAGACCCAGGCCAGTGGTCTCTGTGCCAACCACATTGCTTCGGGAGCCATTTTCCTGCCTGTTGGAAGTTAGATGAAGAGCCTTCCCCAAACTCAGAATAGAACGCAGCCCTCAAGAATACACCCATGAGGTTGGGTTCAGGAACCCCCAGATGCCAAGCTCTGAATAATGGGAGCCCAGTCGGTGAGCACTCAGGAGCTGCAGCCCCCTTGGACTTCTGTCCACAGTGAGTTGCATCGTCAGACACAGCCCTGGCGGGCCACTGACCATCGCCATCGATGTCCACAGAGCAGGCGTCGCCCTCCCCATTGCTGTCCGTGTCAATCTGAGCAGGGTTGTGCACGTAAGGGCAGTTGTCACAGCGGTCCCCAACTTCGTCCTTGTCATAATCAGACTGCCGGGGGTTGAACAGCAGCTGGCAGTTGTCCTAAAGACACAAGAAATGACTTAAGAAAGGGCATGGCAATGTTTGTCAAGTCACACAAAAAGGATTAGAATTTACAAGTTAGGTACTCAAAATAGATCAGTATGTCAGCATTGAGACAAAGAAAACAAAAGCCATCCGCCCTCACCAACATCCTCTTTCTGAACCCTCCATGATTTTGTAATTATTTACACCCCTGTTCTCTGCTCAGCATCCTGAGGTTTCCTGTAACAACACTGGGCTGATATTCCCTCTGCTTCACAGTGGAGTCAGGTGAATGGGTGAATGCATGGATGAATGGATGAAGGCCAGGTGTTTGCATGCCCTGACCAAAATCAAGGTGGTCCACCCTTTCCAGCATCACACTGCATGCCAAGGTGTGAAATCGTCTATATGTGACAGTTGAGGCCAAGGGGAGCCCCAACTCCTGACACCTCCACATAAGCAAGGGACATAAATGTGCCCTTTCTGAACAATTAAAAGTAAGCCAAACTTAGCACATTTTCTGTAAAGCACCCTAAGGGGTCCATGCTCCAGCTGATTTGCTACTGTGACTGACATACTGTCTCTGTTCCTGATTTGGGAATCACTTGTGCACAAAAACACATTGAGATAATAGCATCACAAGGACTACTCAGTGCAGAGCACTAATCTCAGCTGGGCATGGTGGATTACATCTGTCATGCAAGCACTTTGGGGGGCTGTAGCAGCAGGACCCAAAGTCCTAACCCAACCTGGACAACTTAGTGACTTAACAAGACCCTGTCACAAAATAGGAAAATAGAGAAAGGCTGGGGACGTAGCTTGGTGGGGAGGCCCTGGGTTCAATCTCTAGTAATGCAGGAAAAAGGAAGAGAGAGGGGGGCGAGGGAAGAGCAGAGCTCCATTTCCCCGGGCCTCTGCCCCGAGCCCAGAGCAGCTGTCGCGAGCCACCCCGCCTTACCTTCTCATCGCTCACACCATCATTGTCGTCATCCTCATCACAGGCATCACCAATTCCATCCTTGTCAAAATCTTCCTGTCCAGAATTGGGGAGTTGGGGGCAGTTGTCCTGTAATTACAGAAGGCGCAACAATCATGGAAACATTCAGAAAAGCCCCTTCTTCCCACATAAAGGTAAAACAAAACAAAGTGCGGTGTGGCAAATGTGCAAGTGGGACATCTGTCCTTAACAGGAAGCAGGGAAATAGGCCCATGCCACTGGGCCAGGCCTGTCTTTTCTCTCCAGGTCCTGCCCTAGGATTCCTGTCACCAGTGCCAGCAAGGTGAGACAAAGCCAGTGTCTGAGCCCAGGTCCAAGGACTGCAGAGACAGGAGGATGAGCCAGTCACTGCCTGGAAGCAGAGGAGCCGTACAGAAGCTCCAGCATCTCCTCCAGAACCAGAGTCGGACTTCGGGCTTTTTCTTGCACCAGCCAGTGAGTTTTCAAGAAAGAAGTCCTTGTGGGTGTGTGTGACCTGTTTGGAGACTGAGACTCAAAAGTTGAAACCACCTTGTGCTTCACAGAAAGCAGACAGGTGGCACAGGAAGTGGGAAGCCACCTGCTGTGGCCCCGCTGCATGGCTCCCGAGCCAAGTGCAAGGACCCACAGTGCGAAGGTACATTAAACTTGCCCTTTGCTTGATGCTGAACCCATGTGCATTCAGAATGTGAACATTAAGATACACCTGGTCCCCTACATCCTGGCCACGAGCAGGGAGAAAGACTGCTTGTAGTGAGGGGCCTGCAGTGCAGAAGATAAAGGAGAGGCCCCTCAGGCAAGGTGCCTGCAGGATGAGAAACAACGTCAGAGTAGTCCAACCCATATGGTCTTCATCCCATGATTGGGGGAAATCTGTGACTCCAACATACTATTGTCTAAAATAGGGAACACATGTGGGGCACAGGAGGACACTAGACAATTGGAGTTTCCCATTGTTTAAAACAACGCACTCTTCCATGTGGGCTCTAATCTCTTGCCATGGTGTGGAACTGGAATGTCCCCCTATCTTGGTCCCAGCCTCTGGCACCACAGGGAGAGGAACATCCCTAAGCAGGTGAGCCTAGAGTAAGGAAGTAAAGTCACTACGGGTGCTCTTGGAGAGGACACTGGCACTCAGCCCTTCCCTTTCTCTCTCCCTGCTTCCTGGCTGCCATGAGATGAGAAGCCTCCTCTGCTTCATGGTCCCACCATGCTGTGCTACCTCACCATAGGCCCAGTGGAGCCAAGAGACCATGAACTGAACCCTCTGACCATGAACCAAAGTTAATCGCTGCTTTGCTAACTTGGTTATCTTGGGTATTTTAGCACAGTGATAAAATCTGACCCTCCTGACTGAGTACTCTCCACAGTAGGAGGAGGTCAAGTCTGGGGACCATGCTGGCACAGATCTGAATTCCCCTGGGTCTCAGGCCTCACCTTGATGCAGTGGTAGGAAGCATTGGTGGCACACACCAGGTTGCTGTTGGGCCAGCCGTCCAGGTCCGAGTCCTCCCCACAGATGAGTCCATCACCTGCATAGCCTGTCTGGCACTCACACTTGTACATTGGGTCACTGAAGTGGCCCAGGTAGATGCACTCTGCATTCCGGTGGCAGTTGTGAGTCTTGTCCTTGCAAGGGTTCTCAGGCTCACACACCTGAAAACCCGAGACAACATGGGTTATGGACCGGGCCACGTAGGATGGACAGAGACAAGGTGCTGGGGCAACCTCAGAAGTGCAGGAGAGAGTGTAGTCAGGTGCAAGTCCAGAAGCTGAGAATTCTATTCCTTTGGAAAGTGGCCCTGAGGCAGTTGGCTGTGGTTCCTGAGCTGTAGGAACCATTTCTGAGCAGCCGATAGGTTAGCATGTGGTTCTGCTTGCTATAGTTTGAACATGTCTCCACAAAGCATGTGTGGAAATGTATTCCCCAAGGCAACTGTGAAGGGAGGTAGGGACCAAGTGACAGTGTCAGGTCCCAAGGGTCCCACCCTGTTGAAGGAGTCATGCTGATTGTGCAAGGCCTGTGACTGAGAGCTCAGTCTTGACCTTTCATGCACTCTCTGCTCTCTGTCTCCTGTCTGGGCAACGCAACATGGGAGGGGGCTGCTTACTAGATCACTCCACCCCCAGGTAGGACTTCCAGCCTCCAGAACTGTAGAAATAAGTGACTGTTCTTCATAAATTACCTATAAATTGCTATAGCAACACAAAAATAAATAAAAACCTTATTGACATAGAGGAGAAAATTGTTACACCAATGCTTACATATTCCTGCTTGAAAACTCAGATCTGAATTTCCCTGGGGACATCAGGGGCTCAGCTGGGTGGGGTTCAGGCAGCCTGGCTTTGGGAGAGGTAGGTGCCTCCCAAGATCTCCCAGTAGTGCTACTATCCTTCTTCTTCCCTGTCCCACCTCCACTTCTCTGTACTCAATTCACCTTTTTCTCCTAGCCTGTGCCAATATGCAGGAAAGACCAGCCTAGCTCACCTGCTTTTCTGTCCTGGCGGCCTCCAGGCCCACTGCAAAGGGCTGGGTGCCCTTGTAGCGTGGCGGGCAGGGCAGGCAGTGGAAGCCGGGCTGAGTGTTGACGCAGCGGGAAACTTTGTTGGTAGAGAAGCAGATGTCCACAACCACAGAACACTACGGGGACAGGCAGACATGAGCCACAGCCCTCTGATCCCCACAGGGTGCCCCGCTGCCCACAAATGGGGCACTCACCTCATCCAAGTCTTCACAGTGAGTCCCATTTCCCAGGAACCCCACTGGGCAGGAGCCACAGGACCAGGATCCGTCTGGGAAGCTGTTGCATGCGGCCCCAGGGAAGCAGGGGTTGGACAAGCACCCATCTGTGGGAGAGGCCAGCACAGCTGAGGTCAGGATGCAGGTGGCATCTGCCCGGCTCAGCTCAAAGCACTGTGAAAGGAAGCTCATCCCTGCATCTGTCACCTGCCCTGTGCTGCGAGGTGGCTGGACCGTGGAAACCTGATAAATACCCAAGGATTAGGCCACTGATGAGTTTGTAGCAGTCTCACTGTTAGGAGAGATCTGGTCAAAAGCAGGGGGCCACGGGTGCCCCTCCCTTACTCTCTCTCCACCTGCCACTACCATGTCAGGAGCTGTTTCTCCTCTGTGATGCCCTTCTGCCACGATGCATTGCCTTGGAGCCAGGTGACTACAGACTCACAAACTGTAAGCCAAATAAACCTTTCTTCCTTACAGTTGTGGAGTTGGATGTTGTGTTTCAGAGGTGAGAAAGTAACAGAGACAGCAATTTAGCAACTTAGACACTGTCTCAAAATTAAAAGAGTCAAAAAGGACTGAGGATGTAACTCAGTGCAAAGGGCTTGGTTCGATTCCCAGAACCAAAAAATAAAAACCAAAAATGGGGACATGTGCACAGTGGATCTTTGTCTGTTCAGTGTCCATGCTACATTGCATGCTTTCTACTTTCACATAAACATTTGGAAGGAGCAGAACACAGAAGCCAAAAGTCTTCTTTATGGGTGCAAATGTATTTTTCTTCTCTGTTTCCAAGTGTTTCCCACAAATGCTTACACTGTGTGTGACCATTAACCCTGACATGTCAACTCCAGTAGACTGGGAAATGCTGAGCACATTAGTAGAGCATGCTCCTGTGTCTCTGTGGGTCATGGTTGTGTGGCCATGGGAACTCTGTCTCCCTCTCTTCTCCGGCACTGTTCCCCAGCTCTGCTTTGCACCACCGTGAGCTAATCAGCTTTCCTCTCCTCTGTCCTTCCACTGTGATGTTCCTGCCCTGGAACCAGCTGACCATGGACTAAATCTCCTGAAACCCTGAGCCAAATTAACCTTTCCTTCTTCACATTGCAGGTGTCAGGTGCTGTGTCTCAGTGAAGGGAAAGCTGACTAATACATCATACATCCAAATAAAAGCCAGTGGTTTCCTCAGACGCATGGCTGGCTGACACATCTACTCAGTGTGGACAGCTCCTCAGACACCCTGCGCCTCTGGGTGTGCCCCTCATACCCTATGCACCCACCTACGGGACAGCTCCGCCTGTTGCACATGTGGTACTCCTTCACATCCCCCACGCAGTCCTTGCCCCCGTGCTGAGGCTCAGGGTTGTTGCAGACCCGCGTGCGCTCCCGGATTCCTCCACCACAGGTGACTGTGCAGGTCGACCATGGGGACCAGGGGCTCCAGCGGCCATCAACTGCAGGGAGAGTCAGGAAAAGGGCTCAGGTGACGAGAGGGTGCCAGCAAGATCAGCCCTGTGAGGCCAGAGTGCAAGCTGAGCAGTGCGGACTGTTTCCTACAAGGCAGAAGGAATTGCTTTCTTTCTCCTGTAGGCAGTTACAGGTAGAAGGGACTGATGGGGCTGCCAGGTCCTTCCTTGGTCACAATCAGTGAGTGACACAGATGACAGAGTTATCGTGCTTTGCTTTTACACCTGGGTAAAAACTCTCATGACCTTTGTAGCTAGAGGCCCAGGGCTCTTTTCCAAGGTGAAGTCTGAAGTCTTGCTACTGTGTGACATCAAAGCTCACTGTCCATGGCAGCCACACACAGGTGTACAAATGCATCAACCTACGTTAAAGCCATCACACTATCTCAGTGTGCCCCCAGAGACAAGCTTCCTGGACAGGTCCTTGGGCCATGAACCGCATGTGTCCCCTAAACCACAGCTCCACCTTGTCACAGACTCAGGAAAGTCCTTCCGTGGGACTCGGTCTGCATATCCGTTGTTGCCCAGTCTGAGTGTATAGTTCTGGCTTGTACAGGTGACTGGGAACTCCACCGCAAGCTATGCTGAACTCAGACAGACTGGGCCTTTGGGCGTGACCCCATGAATCCTGGGGCCACAGACCCTTGTTGCCTGGAGCTGTGCTGGCCTGCCTGGGCTGGGACTGGTACTGGTGGCCAAGAGCCCTGGCTCCAGGTCACCCAGCTCTGAGCTCTGCCTCCCCCCTCTGTGGGCTAAGGGCAATGCTTACCGGGGCAGGGGGGACCCTCGCAGGTCTTGGTCTCCCGGCCACTGCCTTTGCAGTTCTTGCCCCCCATCTGGGGTACTGGGGAGTTGCAGAGGCGGATGCGCGTGATGTTGCCGACTCCACAGGTCACAGAGCAGGAAGACCAGGGCGACCAGTGGCTCCAACCACCGTTCTGCCGGACTAACAGAAAGAGGTCATGTCTCAGGCTGCCTCTGGGCTACGCAGTGCTTCCTAGCTGGCAACTGGAGGGGAGAGCCCGTCTTCACAGGGACAGAGGGTCTCAGGGCTGAGGTCTCCAGAACCCAGAGGCAACTCTGTCTCTCCAACCAAGGTGGCCAAGGGTCAGGGTTACAGTTAAGGTCAGGCAGGTGGCCGACACTCACTGCGTGTGTCACATTTGCCAAGGCTACAAGCCCGAGTCTGGATGGAGGGCCCGAGGCAGGTGTTGCTGGTGACATCACATGACCGGCCTCTCTGCTGTGTTCCGGAGCCACACGTCACGGAGCACTCGGTCCACTCTGACCATGGAGACCAGCCTTCTTCGCTGTCCACCTCTAAAAAAGGAGGGCAGCACACGGAGTCAGGGCCCCTCATGACGAGCCGGGTTGGAACCAGAACAAGATCAAGGCCTAGGTTCTCTCTGAGGGCGCAGGAGCCTGAGCAATGTGAATGCCCAGCAGAGGACGTGGAGGAGTCGGTGGCCTGGTGAGCAGGCAGACCCAGCAGTCAGAAGGCTCATGGCCTCAGAAGGAAGCTGAGCCCACCACGGAGCCACTGGTGATGAGCTCGCTCTGAGTACCCGGGGGAGATGCTCAAAAGATTAAAAAACAAACAGTTTACAAGACAGCGCTGGGTCATATCTGCAGGATGACTTAACCCTCTGCTTGCAGTTTTACATACGGTAATATTACACTGCAAGTATAGGTTGAAATTAGAGGTCGCATAACTTATTTCCCAATAATTCAAATCAAGAAAAATTCAATTAAAAGGCAGCATTTTGAGGAGAAATTGCACTCTTTAATGAGAGCAAGGGCAGTAGTGTAGGGCAGGAGAGCCTTCCAGTGAACATAAGCACTAAGCCTCGGCATGTACTGGCCAAAGGCTCCAGGAAGCAAGAATGTGGAACAGGAGGGCACAGGAGGACAGTGAGAGAGGCCCTCCTGTTCTGCATTCTTGCTTTCCTCTGGGAGAGCCCTGAATTCCTGTGCCACTGTGGTCTCAGCACCCAAAACACCCGCTTACCTGGCTGGGCCCCCAGACTGTCAATCTTGAGCAGTAGTACGAGAGCAACCCTGACTCTCACCATTGAATTTGAGTTGGTTCTCATCCAACTTGGTTTGTGATCAGAATCGAGGAAAGAGGTAAGCTCATGTATCCTGTGCTGTACGGCCATTGGTCTGACTCTGAATCAGTTCTGGGCACCACGAAGCCCAGTGTGGCTTGCTTCAAGCATGAGACTTACTGGGGAGTTGGGGATAGTTTCTCTGTGCTTTACAGACAGTGACTCTGAACCTCAGAAAGATCACATCTTGTTTGAGATTACGCGGCAGAGCCTGGCTTTTCCCAAACCTGTTTTCTGCATACCCATGGTCAGCCTCCTGAGGACCACGCTCAGTAAGGAGGCCACTGACCCAGGCCCAGAATAGAGTGGGTCCCTTGTCTGAGTCCCTCTTCTGGGTCCCTCAGTCTGAAGCCCTTGGCCAGTCTGAGTCCCTCAGGAGAAGAACTGCACCCCACGGAAGGAGGCGCTGAATGCAGCTGTAAGGCGCACAGGGCAGCATTTCCAAGCCTTGAGCCCTTGACCTCACGGTGTGCGCTACAGCACGAGGACAGAAACAGCACAGGAACGAGTCAGAGACACCGAGTGCAGCCACAGAGTTCTGCTGAGACTCAAGGAACCGACAGCGGGCGGGCCCATGGGTGCAGGCTCTGGGGGAAGACAGTCGGCTCTGAAAAGCGGGAGCAGGGCTCACAGCAAGCTCTGGGGCCAGCTCACTTTCTCTCCGTCTTGTGCCAGGATCCTGACTGCCCGGGGCACAATTCCTCTCTGAACCTCAGCCTCTGCCACTTGGAGCAGGCCTCTATGACTTATTGCTCTGTTTCCATGTGTCTATTTTCCAGGGTTGTTTTGCCCATGTGCACAGGGGTAGTGACTCACTGTCCTCACACACCCCACCTCACTGAGGCCTCTGACTCACGACTCCTGTCTACCTGGGCTGCACCTGGGTCAGAAGTCCCTGTGGATCCCCAGGAGTCCCCTTTCTTATCTGAGCGGGGACAGGCGGGATTGGGTCAGGTGCCTGAACTCCTGACTCAAGCTGCCTCACGGCCCCTGGTCAGCGGACAGTTCAGGCCATTAGAGGTCCCTCTGCTTCTTTACCAGCTACCTCCAAGAGCAGATGGACCTGGGACACAGGTGGCGGGCTTACCGTGAGAGCAGGTAGGACAGCACTGGCCTTCCATGAAGGACGGGTGGGCACACGTCACTGGTGGGCAAGAGATTTGGTGGCAAATGGTTTTGAATTTCTGAAAGTAAAAAAGGGTGCTCACAGAAGACTCATCTAAAAGTAGGAGACACTGGCAACGGGGCTAATGGAAAAGTGTCAGAAGCGTACTCGACCGTTTCAACCCACAGCTGCACAGAAGTTGCAGCACAGATGATAAAATGAGAGATGAACACAGCTCCCCACCTCAACCCCACCAGGTGGTTCTGTTCTCCACCAAAGAACAAGACGACAGTGAAACCTTCCACGTTCTGGCGGGAGAGGAGAAAGAATGCACGATGCAACCTAATGTCTGAATTCCGGGGCTGAGGCCGAGGTGGAAAAAGAGACTGTACCACCGCCAGCATATGCCACAATGCCTCCTGTCACCTTGGGAGTTTCTGTCGAGCATCAGTGCCCCGTGGGAACTGCACAGAAGCAAACAGAACAGAGAAAGGTCTGCAAAGCCAACTCTGGCTGCCCATAGCCACCTGGCGGCGTTGGCCAAGTCTTGGTTTCTTTGTGTGCACAACAAAGAGATTGACTCACATCATATTCCCCGCTTCCTCCACTTCCTGAACATTCCGCTCAACCTTCCTTGTGTGGCTGACACACTCTGCGTGTGTCCCCAGGCAGGTGAGACACGCCATGCTTGGTGCTGCTGAAAGCCATCCTCTGCACTTGGGCTTCCTGCCCCCCAAAAATGGGGTGCTGGGGTCTCACCTTGCAGGTGCACGTGGTGCAACTGTCCACCACCCACGTTTCGTTTTCTGCAAAGAATCGGCCATCTTGCCAGCAGGCTGACATGTTCCTTGTCTTGGGAGGGCCACCAATGAGCTCCCAGAGAAACTGGTTATCACTGGACTGGAAACAGAAGTAACGTTAGGTTCAGGTAAGAACTGAGCATAGTTGGCTGTGATGCTTGTAGGAGAAGGAGCCTATGCCTTCTCAGCTGAGGAGCTCTGAACTCAAGAAAGACAAGCAGCAGGTGACCGTGTGAAGGCACGAGAGCCTGGGGAGGTAGATGGATGCTCAGGCTCTCGGGACCTTCTCTCAGGGTGGGTGACACAGAACGCAGAGCCAAGCAGACGTCTTCACTCTCGTGGGGGCTTCCTGCCCCATTTCCAGTCTTACAAGCTAACATAGATTCCCCGTGCCTTCGCCCCCTCCACACTGAGCACACTGAGCAAGGCTGCTTTTCTGCACAGTGGGCAGACATTGGGAGGGGAGGGGAGGCCACTGTCCACCGCAGCCAGCACCCAATGTGCTGTTGTGACTTCCCTCATCCTTTTATCAGCTGATATGGTATCAAGGGTCACGATCCCTTCAGTCTCAGAAGTTACAGACATGAGGAAAAGGCACTAAGCCTGGGTGCTTTGCTTTGCTCTGTACTCTCCACACATAGCTCTTTCTCCAAGTGGCCATCATAATTTGGGGGTGACTGGACTTGGGTGCTGATGAATGATATGGACCCTTCCTTACACAGTACAAATGCCCAGAAACAGACCCATCCTGGTTTCTTTGTCCACAGATGTCATTGGTCCTTGCCTCCCAGTCAAGGACCCGTCCTATGGCTGGCATCCCCTGAGAGGGAGGGGTGGCAGGTTGTGCACCCCACCCTCAGATCCCACCTCCCAGGTCAGATCTGGACTGGTCTGCATCACGAGGGTTCTACCTGGCCAGGCTGCCCTCTCCCTGGACACCCTGAGGCTGAATGGTAATGCCCAAGCAACCTGTGTGACAAGATAGGCAACCCCTCTGCAGGAAGGGATGCCATTCTGAAGACTGCCATAGGCCTCAGTGCTACTAATTTCTCTCCCAGGAGGCAGAAGACTTGAAAGTGGCTGGAGAGATGGGATCCACCCGTGTCTGCCTCCCATCACTTCCCCCTGCCACATCCCTGGAATAACGTTCCAGAACATGTATTCCCAGCTTGAGGTGCCTCTGGCACCATGGCCTTCACCACAAGCAGGCTTCTGGAGCTCACCGCATCTACCCTCAGAGCAACGGGTGTTGTGCTGATTCCCTTGCATCTGGACTGCATCAGAACAGACATTAGGACCTTCTCCATGCGGGGGCAGAATAGAACGGGCACAACTTCCGGCGGCCCACACACCAACACCTGCTGTCCCTGCAGCAGTCTCCAGGACAGGGAGCATGGTCCCTCCCCACACCCTCCTCCTGCACACTCCTTGCTCACTCCCTTCCCACCTCTTCACCAGCCTCCACTGCTGGTCCTCAGGTACCAGATGCAATCTTCCCTGCAGGGCATGGCAGCTAACGAAGCCCCAGTATTCAACACCCCACTACTCAACATAAGTCCCCATCCACAGCCCGTGGCCTCCCCTTTGCTCTGGTGCACTCTGGAGAGGCACACAGCTGCCCCCTGTAGGGATAGCAGCTCTCTAACCTGTCGCGGGCAGCCCTTAGAAGACATTTCCCTCTACATATGCACCCTTCAACTGGCTGGAAGGATGAACTTCCCCAAGTCAGGAATTTACTTTAGAGAAAGTGCATCCAGGACTTCACACTGACCTACATCCCCCCAAATTTTCTTTTTTTGAGACAGGGTCTCACCAAATCACTAAGTTGCCCAGAGTGGGCTTGAAGTTGCGATCCTCCTGCCTCGCCCCCTCAGGGTAGTGAGATTACAGGTGTGCACCACCATGCATGGCTAACAGTAGATTTTTAAACGTTGTCAACATCTTTCAGGACCAGTGAGTGAGGAGCTGCCCTGAGGACCAGCAGAAGAGAAGCCGCCACGCCCCAGGGATCCCTCCCCGATGCACCGCTCTGCCCGCGGCACGCACCACTTTCCTCAGGTTATCATCGAGCTGGCGCACCAGGACGTGCAGCCCGGACAGCTCGCGGATCATGTTGGCCAGCTCCTCGCAGGAGTGCTCGCACACCTCCGGCCTCTGATCCACTCCGTGACCCACCAGCTCCGTGGTGATGTGAGGGCTCAGGTGCAAGGTCTCCGTATGCTCGCTGATGGCATTGACTTCGGCTAAGGGAAAGCACAGCAAGGTCAGGGCACCGGCCACGGGCGTCTCGGCCAGCCCTAAGTGGTGCTCAGCGTGAGCTGCTGTGTGTGGTCCTGCAGTGGCGGCTGCTGCAGTCTACCCAGGCACAAGGGGACCTGGCAGCTGCTGCCTCCGATTAGGACCCACGCTTAACAGGAAGGGTTTTGTCCCATACCGTAACACTGAACGTGGCATAAAAAGAGTTCACAGCTGAGCAGAGTGCAGCTTACCAATAGAAAACACAGCAGATCAGAGACACGCATACCCACAAGTGCGTGTGCTGGCTCACTCCTCTAGGTCAAACGGGCTCAGGGAACATCCAGTTTTAACCTCTCCAGTCCTTACCCTCATCTCTGAACACACCTGTTCTTCAGCCACATGCCTCATGCACCGTGGAGGACCCCCTGCATGCTGGGGGCTCCCCACACACCCTAAAGGCTCGCACTACACTCTCGCGCCTCCTCATCTACCCTGGAGGCTCCCCTGCACCCCGGCAGCTGCTCTCCACACTCCCCGTATTTGATTTCCCCTAAACCAGCCTGCTTTACTGGGAAGCAGGTGTCCCCACGGCCACACACATTTGCTCCCTGGGCTCCAGCTCCTTTCCCGGCCTTCACGCCTGCAGCTGCTTTTCCAAAAAGGGAGGGTGGAGACTCAGCGTAGTGCAGGCCTGACTGTGGGCATCTGCCTCCATGGCTCCAGAAATGCACAGACCTCCTGGAGCCACGGTTCATGGGGACACGAGGGTAAATCCGGAAGCTTTCATCTCAGTCAAGGCGGAGCCATGAGCTCCAAACAGGGCGGCCTGATCTTGCACAGCCCAGCTCCAGCTTCCTTTCTGGGGTGGTGCTCACCCTTCAGGCATTCCATTGTGGAGTTATTGCACGTATACATTATAATTCTGCCATCTACCCCATTATTGAGTTCTTCTGACTTGGTATAAACTTTTGTTGCAATTCTCAAGCTAAAGTTGGAAGCTACCCTGAAATCATTATGCTATAACACATGTAATCTTATAATCTTGAATGCAGTCCAGCTACATAGATGGTGCATAAATGTACACGTACGTGGTAGAGACATTACACTAATTCTAGGTGGATTTGACTCAGCAAATTGACTTTAATTTTTAAGGACATTTAACTTATTCAGCATATTCACTTTTCATTCTTTTACTAATTAAGCAAAACCAGCACGTATCTTATTTACCACTGTCTCTGCCATAATTGGTTTAGTTGACAATAAAATTTCCCATCTGTTCTACATTTCTCCTGTCTATACCAAGACTTTCCAGTATGAAGTTTTAGTGACTTGGCCCCTTGGCAGAGCAGAGGTACTGTCATTTCTTAGCAAACAGCCAAAGAGATGCTGCTCAGCTTCAACTCGGGACCTGGCTGTCTCTGGAAGAACACGGTTCTTCAAGCGTGACGTAACAGTGCAGGAGCAGGGAAGTCTTTCTGTGAAGATCCGCCAGTGCTGAGTGACCTAACAGTCAGCTGTTACATATTACATACGGATGCCAGGACTTCACACCCTCAGGTCTAGACTTTCTCTTCCTCTCAAAAGAATAGATTTAGATTTCTGTGCAGTCTGATTTTTAAAGCAGGGCTTTATTTGTAAATGTTTGCTTTGCATATGTCCAGGGATTATGGGATGCTAACCTTGGTAGAAAGCATGTGGTTAAAAAGAAGTGAAACGGTATTTATTGACACAAAGGTATAGTAGTGTTTGAATTAACCTGAGGAGGTTAATTCTACCCACTAACAGCCATGGTGGCTAGCTCACCATGCCGCTGGCAGTCTTATCTTCACTAACTCATACTGAGGTCCAGTGCAGGAATTTCTGCAATTCAGAGCTCTGCTAAGGGTACACTCTCTTCACAAAAGCAGCTGAGGTCAGCACCTGCCTTGCAAGTGCAAGGTCCTGATTTGATTCCTGGTACCAAAAAAAAGAAAAAAATGCTTATCAATGTTGGTGCACACCTGTACTCCCAGCACTGGAGAGGCTGAGGCAGGAGGATCGCTGGAAGTTCAAAACCAGCCTGGGCTACAAAATGAGCTCATGGCCAGCTTGAACTGCATAGTGTGACCCTGTCTCAAAAAGACAAAAGAAAAAAAAAAAGGCAGCTCAGGAATGTGCTGGCATATATGTACCCATACACGCATCCTGCCTAGCACCTCACCTGACCAGAGGCGTGATGGTGTGTGGCCTTGTGAGCAGCCTCAGGTGCTCCCAGGCCCAAGGGAAGGGAAACCCAAGAGGGTCTGCAGGGCTTAGCCTCCCGACTCACTGGGATGTGCCCCATTCCAGGTAGATTGCTGGACCGCAGACACAGAGTCCTACACATTCACTCCTTGTATGTGATCCAGTCAAGAGCAGTTTATAGTTTTCCTACCTTAGAACTGAGGGGAAGAAGGGATCTACTGGAAAATGCCACAGTACTGAATCCCACGGTAGGTGCAATACTTCCCAGGAGACCACTGGCCTGAGGTGACCTCCCCCAGGTGAACCGGGAAACTGACGCCCAACTTGGAGCTCAGCTGCCTTATTTGTAAATCAAGGGCAGTGGAAGTGCTTGTTTCATAAAGTCACTCTGAAGGCCATCCATAGACTGTGTTTTAAAGAACCGGGGCACTGATCTCACCAGTTAAATGCCCAAGAAAGCTCTGGAAATGCGACACAAACGGCAGTGAAGACTTGGTGTCCTGTGGGATTATCTGTCCGCTCGCAGTGATCAGGGCAGCACTGATTTTCAGTGTGGCTGAGTCAGCATACGGTGGCTGGACAGGGACAGAAAGTCTGACAAAGACCTGTGATGCCACAGTGTGTGGGTGACCTTCACACACCAGCACCGAACAGGTCACCTGTGTTTATCATGAGACCGCAATGCTAGCCATTTACTTTTCAACTTGCAAAAGGTCTTTTTTAATTATTGAAATCTATTCAAAATGTATCTGTGGACAACTGATCATTTTCAGATGTCACACATCTGCTTCCCTGACAGACAGTAACAGTACCTTCCTCAAATACCACTGCCTGAAAAGCCACTGTGGTGCACACCCAGAACAGAAGCCCGCCGAGCTGGGAGAGGGATGCGCGGCACCCGGCACACGTACCTCCCTGGCCTTGCCGGCAGCCTTTCCTTCGCAGAACGTCTTCTATGGAATTCTCGAACACCAAGTGGATGTTCTGCAGCAAACCCTGTGAGAACACACAAGCAGCAAGCCTCTGATGCAAAGCTAAGTGACACTTTTTAATGGATCGGGAGAGGTTTTCCAACACTATATCGTCTCCTCGAGCTTAGACTTGGAAGTTTGGAAATCTTGTGATCAGTTTTTCTGTATCTGTTGCTTTGGAAACTTGGCTTTTAGACACGTCACAAAAATATAACTTTAATATGAAAAATCTGCTAGCCGTAAGAAAACACTCCGAAGAGGAGAACAGAAGAGGCCCCAGGGGACACCATGAATTAGGTCATCTGGCCATGCGCAGACAGGCATTCCAGGCCGTTTACTGCAGGGGACTGAGGATTGTGGTGTCCTTTCCTGCGGCTGAGACCTCAGAAATGTCTAGGGCCCACTTGGAGACTGGGCTCTAGGTCTGAGGCAGCCCTCCGAAGCATCAGACAGCTGTGGGAGTGCCTCAGCAGCACAAGAGAGGGGTCCACTGAGAAGCCACGAGTCTGAAGGCCTCTCCCTCACAGCACACGTGCCTGTCTGGAGGAAACTGCTATACAGACGGCCCTGGATTTCCAATAGAATCTCATCTGGGTAGACCCACGGTGAATACAAACAGCACAAGCTGAAAGCAGTTAGCACTCCTAACCTGCGGAATGCATGCTGAGGACCAGGGCCCCTGGAACTTGTCCTGGTCCCCTGTGGCCAACAGCTGACCAGGCACTGGTCACGAGATGCTCAGACTATGTATCATTAAACCTTCAGAGATCAAATTTGCAATTCTGAAGCTCGGTGTCTCCTGAAGGTACGTCACCCTCACACCATCAGGGAGAGGGAAACCAAAGCTGCAGGTCCTAAGTGCTCACTGGTATGGGAAGACCCTGCTCCAAACTTCACCGCCGTGGGCGCAGAACTGCTCTCTCCCCAGCCAGCGGCTCCCAGCCTACGAGAGTTTCTAATTAGCTCTCCTCAGTTTTGTTTCCAAGCAAGAACTTAGGAATACGCTCAGTCTCCACGAGACCCCTGGGCTGCCGGAAGCCCATAGCAGACTGACTCCTGGGTCCTCGGCTGACCTCAGCCCTAGCCACTGATCACCAATGCAGGGGGAGGCAACCAAGGCACTGCTTCCCACAGCGTGGGCGGTGTGTGCTGTGAGTGTGAGCGTCTGTGCCTCTGGGTGTCTGATGGGCGTGTACAGGTGTTCACGGGTGTGTGCGTATGTGTGATGGCAAATGGGTGGGTGATTCCGTCTGGTGTTTGTGTGCGTGCCACCCCGCGGCCACCACCCAGAGTACGCACCCTGAAATGACTCTCCCGCGCAGCGCCTTTAGCCACGTACATCCTGCTTCTGTCTGCCTCCAGCTGCTCGTAGAAGGGCTCATCCAGCGAGAAGCTGTCCATGAGGTCGCAGCCCACATACAGGCTGTAGGTCTCACTGGCCACCTGCACGGTGATGTTCTTCCACTGGGAGTCAGCCAGACCCACGTCCTCCAGGGAGACCACATGCGGGGTGCCGTCCACCCAGTAGGTGAGGTCCAGGGTGTCAGCCGGGCCATTGGAGACAATCTCAAACTGCCTCTGGGAGGCACCCGGGCCCTCCAGCGCCAGCAGCGTGCCGCGGGACCTGCGGTCCTGCTTTAGCTGGGCAGTGAGAAAGAAGCCGTCCTTCCGCCGCATGGCCTCGACAACCCGGTCCAGCTCAGCTGCGTTCACCGGGGGGATGTAGTCGAACCGCACAAAACGGTAAGCAGGCCCCCCGGGGTCGGGCCCTCGGAACTGCTTGGCACCGATGGTCTTGCGGTTTATGTTGCTGATGCTGAAAAGGTCAAAAACAGTGTCCTCGTCCTGCTCACCGGCTGCCAAAGGAAGCACAGCAGGAGGGTCACCAGCTGCTAGGGCTCAGGTGACAAAACACAGCTTTCTCAGCATGGAAACTCTGGTTCCCCCAGGATTCTAGCTCTTCCCCCAGGGTGCCGAGGCCACATCTGGTGCAAGTCACCGTTCCCGTGGGGGGGGTGTCAGAGGGTCCTACGGGGGGCCAGCCTCCTCCGGACAGGTGAGGAGCAGTACCAGGGAGCAGGGAGCCAGCACCCCCAGCCAGCAGCCCCCCACCTCAGCTGGTCCCCCTGCAGGAAGCGGTGCTGCATGTCACTCCTCACCCTGGCAGCCTGAGGCTGGAGGGCCGCTCCTCCACACCACACGGCCAGGGGACCAGGGTCTGAAGCCCAGACCTGCACCCTTGCTGGGGGCCTTTCCGGGCAGAACTGGAGAAGCTGTTGCTTTCTTGATATCTTCTATCCTCGACAAACTATGTGAGCACCAGTCTGCCTTTGTAAAATGCTGGGTCTTGTGTTTATAATCAGTGGTTTTACAGCACCATCCAGCTACTGGTGAGAAAAGTGATCGGACCTCACCAGAATCATAACAGTTTAAATGAGTCAAAATAATACCCTGAGTAGAAGTTTTACAGCAGAATAACTTTTTTTCAGCTGATGCCTGGCACATTAAGACATAATATATACTATTTCTGGTAGAAGTGTGATTTTCACTACTTTCAGCAGAGTCACTGGAAATTATTAGAACTTTTGATGACTGCTATTAAAACAGCAATTCTATTTTTATAATTTAGCTAAAGGATATAAGGGCAAATGCTAGCGATGATTTATTCACAACAACGTTCCTTGTGTCTTCATTTATATTAACAAAGATAAGATGACAGTCCACAGAGAACAAGTCTGAAAACACTGGGGTTTATCTGTGATGGAGTACTATACAGTCAGTAAAAATCAGGTTGCAAGAATATAAATACACGGGAAATAGCCAAGATAAATAATTTAAGCAGAAAGCAAGCAAGAAGAAAAGAAGGTATGTGTGGTGCTATGAACAGGGGTGCAGGGAATGCTGAGCTTTGCATAGCAAGAATCCCATCTTGCTGAGAGGGTATTACTCCCTAACACCAAAATTTTCCAAAAATATATCATTCCATGCTGTATAACTCAGAAGTAAATAAAGACATCTATGTGGTGAGGAGTCAGAAGGCTCCATTAACACCTCACCCGCCCAGCTGCTTCCTGATCTCTCGACTGCGGCTTGTCACACTCACCGAGAGCACCGGCCCACGCACACAGAGCCAGCACAGCCAGCCCCCAGAGCATCCTGCCTCCTGCCGCGCCGCCTAGGAGAAGAGCAGCCTTGTTAGTGAGGAGCACACCGCGGCCCTGGTGCTGACCGGGGTCACTGTGCTCATTTACAGTCTGCCGACACAAACCAAGAACTTGTGGGGTTTAATGAGATTGGAGCAAAGTTCTCGCCAAAGCATTTGTTTCTAACTATAGCTAACATTCACTGGGCTAGTGAGCCTGGACATCTTAGATATTCTCGGTGTGTGGTCCTCCTGGTGACCTGGGGTGACTGCGTCCATCGCTGTACCCACTCTGCAGGGGAGCAAGTGGAGGACAGAGGGGTGATGCTTGCCGGAGTAAGTGCTAATAAGATATGTAGCCAGGGCTTGGGTCCAAGAAGCTTGAAGTCAGGAAAACATCCAGGCTGGTGCAATAATCTGTGAAGGCATTTTGTGTAAATATCCAAAGGGGGAAAAAAACAGTGATGCATAACTTAATTAAGCAGAATCAATATGAGCTAGATATAAAAGTTAGAAATAAACAACTTGGTACATCATTTTTATGGAAAACAGAAGATTTTACTTAGCAACAGTTCTTACCCTACTTTCCTACTTTCCTGCAGGCCTGTTTTTCCATTCTTGGGGATTCTAAATTGGCAGGGCTCAGCAGACACTGGCCCAGAAGTCAGGAGGCCTGGCCCCGAGCCCAGCTCGCTCTTAACTCCTTGTGGGTCTCGGGGGCACCGGGTCCCGCGGCCGCGCATGCCCGGATTCCTCCCCTGTTCACATCAGAGCCCCTTAATTTCTCACTATGCAAAGAAATCCAAAGAGTCTCCCTCCCCGGAAACACGGGGCAAGCTGGAAACGGAGAACGAGCCCTGATTCCTGACCCGTTGAGCAAGGGGGAGTCTGACAGGGGCCCGGGGCCCCCTCCGGGAATGTGGAGTCCCGCGCACGCGGCCCTCCCCACGGGCCCGATGGCGCTGTCCCCAGGCTCTGCGAAGGAGGCGACGAGGTTTAACACGTGCAGCTCGGCAACCTTAGGCAGAGCTGCGCTCCCCACGGCAACCTAGTCACCTCTCCGTCTCAGTTTCCTCGTCTGCAGATCAGGAAAAAGTACTACAGTGCTTTGAAATATCTGTCCTGCCGGGTGGCTCTGAGGACAGCACCAGGCCTGCACATACATCGAGTGCCGCTGCGCACCGGGTGTCCGCGGGCCCTGGGAGCGAGCTCCCTGCCCTCACCTCCCAAGGGGACGGGAGGAGTAACAGGGTCACGGCTGGGCCTCTTCATAACGAGCTCCTAGAGGAGCAAACAACGGAATGGATGGAGCCTGCACACAGTCAGCACCTCAGAGAGCTGAGAGTAAGCACCAGGGCGCGTCTGCCGCCTTCCTGGGCTCCCGCCCCGCCCCACCCCACGAGCCCGCCAGTCCCAGGAGCAGCGTCCTCTGCCTCCGGCTCTGACTGAGACCCCTCCAGGGACGCCCACTCCACGGCTCAGGACGCCAGTTTCCGCAGTCCAGGCGGAGGAGTAACCCAGCTGTTCTGACAAATGCAAACTCTGCCTGTCTCTGACTGAGGCTGATTCTTAAAACAGTGGGGGTGTCACAAAGAATCAGAGGTCTGCCCTCTGTCACAAGACAATCCCGTCTCATCTTGGGGGTGGGGCAGGAAGGCTGGGCCCCGCAGTTGGTACAGAGACCTGGTGACACCCAGGGGTGCGAGGCCGGGCGGTGACTCCAGGCAGAGTGGGCACGCATGTCCTTCCTGCCCCGAACCCCGAGCCCCTCTCCCTGATACATTCCTTCTGTGCATCTGTGGTTATATTTTTCCGAGGGTTTGTGAAGCCTTTCTGCACCAGAATATAGTTGATGTTTATGAAGAATCTTAAAATTCTTTCTCTGTGAGCGAAGTGGAAAAGTGACTTCGCTGGGAAGTATTTGTGTAGCCCCACGAAGAGCGGTGTGATTAATCATGGGGCTCCAGGACTGAGCTCAGCCTCCTCGGTTGGGGACCAGGCCGCTGTCCCCAGCCCTGAAGAAGCTGCCAGCTCCCTTTTCATATGCAAATTATGCCTCAAACTGAAAAGCAACCCTGTTCCCTGGCAGCGTAGTACTTCCCGCAGCCTTGCTGTAAATTACTAATAGTAAGCCGACACTTTTCCAGCTGTTCATAATGTTTACAGTTGGAATCTCTACAATCCCTAAGGGTTCTCACACTTTCAGGGGACTGTTTGTAATTCCGTTCTCATGGTCCCTTCTCAGTAACAAACTTCAGTGTGGAAACATTTTAATCTGAAGCTGAAAATGTCAGTGTTTGCCCAGGCGTCCTGCAGCAGGTACCCACAGGAAAGCACCCCAGCCGACGGGACAGAGCCGGAGCGGAAGGCGCAGCCTGGCCATTGTAGCTGAGGACCTGGGAGTCTAGCTCAGGCGGGATGAAGAAGGCTTGGCTTTCTAGGTGTGTGAGGCTACACCACCCTTTAAAGTAGGAATCTATATTGCACTTTTTCTTCTGTCCACTTTTAAATCAAAAGCATTTCCTGAAAATTACAGCCTGATGAAATGACTTAGTAAATTGAAAAGTGTGTGTTACCTGTATATAAAAAGCTGGGGTGAGGTCTGATTTCAGTGTTCCAAGTCAGGTCCAGAGGATACGGACAGTCCAAGGTCCCGCACGCGGTCCAGTAGACACGGCTCCCTGCTGCAGACAGCAGCCCCCGCCTTTATATGCTCTTTCCCTGGAGTAGCCCTGTCAATCAGACACTTGAGGATGCACGTTTAATTCATTCCTTCGAAGGAATGACATAACTCCTCCTTCTGATCAAACCATTTGCTCCGAGTACCTGCAGTCAGAGTCCAAGTCCAGCCCCTCCATGCCGGACTCCGCCCTCCTCTGTATCCACCCCGGGCCTCCAGACGGGGGACTGGGAGGAACCAGACGCAGAGGGGAATGCAGGGACTCACTTTTCCTGTCTTTTCTCCGGAAATAAAATGCTATAAATAAAACCAGTAAGTTTGGCTCAGCTGAAACTTCCACTTTGCTTAAGAGAAAAGAAAAAAAAAAAAAAAAGAAAGCTCTACACTTTAAATATGTTTCAAATTACCCAATGTGAAACTGGTCTTTCTGAAGTAGGCAAGCAACCACGGGTAAGACACAGAAAGACCAGTAAGGATGAACGGCTGCTCTCTGCATTAAAGAACTTGCTATACACAAAGATTAATTTTATCATGTGCAAAAAACCTAAAGAAGTCAACAAGTTTTTATGCCAGGCATTTGGAAACTGAGAGATAATATTGCCTGTTAGAGAACTGGTTTTAATCTACAGTGGCCCCATCAGCCCAGGCAGGACCCCACACAGATGTCCATCCGCAGGCCCAGTTCACCCGGGGCACACTCTCCCAATGGCTGGGAGGACCCACGATCACAGGAGGGAGCCTCAGGTAGAGGAGCCTTCTGTGCAGGAGGACAGGGGCTGGAAGACCTGAACACAAGGCTAGCAGCCAGCCTCCCGCCATGGCCACTGCCACCACCCAGGTCAGCGTGGACCGAGGAAGATGGGTATCACCCAGAGTGGACAGCAGATGGGGGAGGAGGGACTTTCCCAGGGTAAATGGTGGACAAGGAGGAGGCTCAGCGCCTCCCTGGTCCCTTCACTGGCTCCATGGGCCTGGAGGGCCTCGGCACTTGTTCCTGGCAGATGTAGGATGGTGGGTGAGTCCTCACTAAAGAACGTGAAGGAGCAGGTCCATGGAGGAAGCTCTCTGCCCCTTCTGTCCTCGTCCAGGCTGGAGGCACCACGCAGGATCCTGTGTGGCTTCTCCTGGAGCCTGCTAGTACCAACTGTCCTCTGTACCCGTAAGCACACCTGTCTGACAGGGCTCACATAGCTCCCCAGAGCCCATAGGGAGAGTCAGCGAAGGCTTCATGGAGGCCACCCACGCTGATGCCACGTGGTGTGCACAGGGAGCGTCCTGGTGGCAGAACACACTAGGCAGAAACGCAGGGGCAGATGCGTGGTGTGCAGAGGAGGAGGAGCTCCTAGGGCAGAGGGCACTGAGGGAGCTGGCACACAGGCCCTGGTCTCTGTGCACTTCCCCAGGCCAGAGATCATGGAGCTGACTCCATGCCCCCCTGCGGACACTCCTTCAGTGTCATCAAAGGAAGGACACAGGGCTGTGATGGCAAAACCACAGAGCCATAGAGGCCATGGAAAATGGGGGCTGCCAGGTTCTCCTGCCTGTGCAGAACCGAGTAGAGTACAGTGGAAGGCTGGGGCAGCAAGTATGTCTGCAGGAAAAGAGGAAAAGGAGGAGCCATAGAGGCTTTGGCCGGGTTTTGTCTCCTTAGAATTTATGTCCTGCAGGACCAGTGAATGGGAACCTCCCGAACAGGGTCTTTTCAGATGGCGCTGAGCAGGCAGGGTCTTCCTGGAGGAGGCAGCCCTTCTCCCCAGCCCCTGCGTTCTTATCCGAAAAAGGCATTGGGAGCCGGCCAGGCAGAGCCCCATGATGCAGCAGGAGGAGCCTGGGCTGTGTTTACCAGGACACCAAGTGTCTCCGGCAGCACTGGGACGCACGGGAGGCAGGAAGGGTCCTCCCAGGACAGGCAGACAGAGCACAGCCCTGACTGCAGACTCCTGGCTCCAGAAGTGTGGGACAATAAGTGTGTGTTGTTTTATGCCTCCTGGTTTGTGAGACCTCGCTGTAGCACTGCCAAGAAACAGACACCTTGCCTGGACATGACACTCCAGATGTTATTTAAAACAGGCCAGGTGGCCCTGTCTGCCCCAGCACAAGGTTCCTGCAGCAGAGGTCCCATCCCTGACTGGTGTTGTTCAAGCCCAGCCCCCGGAGGAGGAGCAGCATGTGAGTGGAGAGCTCCCCAGCCTGTGAGAGGCTGGTGAGGGGCCCCAGCACCTGGCATGGCCCTGGCTGTAAGCACGCCCAACGGGCCCCAGCCCACACCAACACTGAGGGGCAGGCCACACAGCAGGACATGGGAAAAAGAGCTGGGCAGGCCGTGGGGACAGATCTTCTCAGTGGTCCAAACCACTGTCCTTGCAGAACTTCAGGTCCACTGGCCCCTGAAGGCACAAGACTGCACCAGACCAGTGACTCCAGATCTGGAGACCAAGGTCCCCAGCGAGGCGGTCGCGAAAGGCAGAGGGTGATGGTGAGCTGACAGTGAACTGCAGCACACTGCGGAGAGAGTCCTGGGAGCCACTGGCCTACACATGGCAGGCAGGCAGCACAGGACACCCAGACAAATTTAGAGGGACCCTCAAGGAATAGGGGAGCCTGCAGGCAGGTGAAGATTCTGGGTGGATTTCCCAGAAGGCATTGGTCTCAAGTCAGAGAAGGTGCCCAAGGGTCAGGCCTAGCCTGGCGAGCAGTTTGGCTCCGTGCTGGGGCTCACTGACCATCTGCCACGTGGTAGGTGCCAGCTGGGACCTGAGGATGCTCAGGAAGTACAGGTCCCAGCCAGCTCCCGCTCGGCACCACAGCCCAGGCTGAGCCAGCCACCAGCACACGCGCGGAGCCCCAGCCTCACTCCGTGCCCCGGACTCCATCAGCCACTGGCCGTCGGCAGGAGCCAGGACAAGCTGTTTCAGGAAGAGGGAGTGGAGGACGCAGAGTCCCGATGAAGAGCTGGAAAACCCACACCCCAGCCTCTGAGGGGGAGGAGCTCATGGGTCCATTTCCAGGCTGCTCTGGACTAGCAGAGCAGAGAAGAGAGGATGAATTTGGGCTCAGAAAGGCATGAATGTGTGTGGGTTGGTGGTTGGTGGGCACAGAGGGGGGACAGTTCAAGGTTGCCTGGAAGTGGCTCCAGGGGGCCTCACACCCAGCCTGCGAGGGAGCCCTGGTCAGGTGCAAGGGCGCCCCAGGTTCAAGGGGGTCTACCTGGGCAGGGAGAGAACGGCTCTGTCTCCACTGAATGTTGTGGCTGGTGGGGGCTTCCGCACTGCTACGTGGCACCATCTGTCCAGGGCTCAGGCCAGAGGTGACTGAGTGGAGTGTGTGCAGGAGTGTGGGACCCCTGAGAGGATGGAACAAAGCGAGAGCAGAGAGCAGCCCTGCACATCGTGCAGCCCCCCGGGGTCAGGGCCAAGGCTCAGTGTCCGTCAGCTCGAGCAGCTGGCCAGTGGCTTTCCCAGTGCTAGACAAGCGTCAGCCGGCCGCCGACTTCTGAATCTGGAGACTGAGTGAGGGCTGCTGCTGTGGAGAGGCAGGGAATGGGGCTCCCGGGAGTCCGTCACACAGTGGGGAGGTGCTCGGCTCTAGACACAGAATTAAGAAAGACTTGGTCACAGGTGCAGTACGGAGGACAGGGCCAGGAAGGCAACGACGCAGGTGTCCAAGCCATGGGCCGGAAGATGCCTTGTGAGATTTGACCACTGCCATCCAAATGCTGCAGGCCAGGTGGGCACAGGAGTCTGCAAGGTGGCCTGGGACACACCTGCCACCCACCACTGACCATGCCAGAAGCCACAGGGGCTTGGGACATGAAGCAGGTGTGAGCCCCAAGGTGGCAGGGACACACTCAAGTCCAACCTGTCTCTGCAGTTGGCTTCAGGATGGTGTCTGGTCTGAATGATGTGCAGATCCTAAAAGTATTTTTAATAAATAGTCACCTGATGAGAAGATCACAGCAGCGTCCTTATTTAACAGAAGACTGAACAAGCAGATTCATAAATGAATAATAATCAGAATGACTGCCCACACCTTCCGTGTGACCCACGCATGGTGAGCTTCCACAGTGAGTTTGGGGGAACACGCGAAGGCGGACAGCTCTGGCGATACTCCAGGGTAGAGGCCAATCTTGCCTTCTCTCCCTCCCCATGAGAGAGGTGGCAAGGGCCAGGGAGACCCTCCTGTGCTGACACCGCGGGGCCTGGCACTCAGACCGCAGGCGCAATGCACCCAGAAGCTGCCGAGAAGCAAAGTCACAACCACAGACATCTGTTTCCTCTTAGTCTGTGCTGGATGAGTGAGTAAGCTCGGGCCTCTCTGCTGCCTCTGGGTGAGAGTTACAGGAATTGTCTCTGCCCTGACCAGTGACAGAGGACGGCAGCCTGGCAGTCCTGGTGGGTACTGGGGCTGGTAACATGAGAAGAACCCCCAAGAAGGCTGGGGGGTGGTGAAGAGCAGGAGCAGTGAGGGCGGGGGCTGCTCCACTCCACACTGCTGCTGGGCTGGCAGAGATGACGCCACACTGTGGAGGGTGAGCTGGGAGCCCCGGACCGCCCAAGCCAGTGTGTGAGGCCTTCGCATTTCCCACGCAGTGGACCTGACAAAACCTCTCGCGAGAGAGAACTGAGGTGGAACTTGCTCAGGACACGCTATCCCCAGCCTCCTGCGTCCTACCTTAGCCGGGCCGCCTCAGCGTGCAGAGTCCCACTGGGTTCCTGCAGTGTGGGTCCCAGACCACCACAGGAGCGCAGGCTGCAGACTCAGGCCGCACAGCACACCAGGGCAAGGGGGCCATGCATCTGACTGAGCCAGGGCACCTGGAGGAGCAAGTTGCTGGTCCCCAGCGCAGTGTGGGTCAGAGACATGCTTGGGCTGTGCACTTGCTTCCTTTCCAAGCCCTCTGCAGCGCTGTCAAAGCTGGTTGTCCACTCCGCTGGCCAGCACCTGGATGGAGGGATCCTCAGAGGGGTGACATGGCGACCGGGTGAGCAGAGGTGCAGGACCCAAAGCCACAGAGTGCCTTCCCATGCCTGGGTGGCATCAGCCTCCCAAACTGACCTGGGCCGCTGGTACCCAGCCCCAACCTCCATCGCTCCCTCCACCAGAAGGCCTGTTTGCCTTTAGTCTCTTTGGGCCAGCCTCTGAGCCGGTGTACCCTGCTGGGCACCAC